ACACACACACACACACACTACACGGGGAGTGTTTCAGTATTGGTGTATTTGAGGAAATGACAATGACCCAATAACATGAGCTCAGCTGCACAGATCTTTTGCATAGTTAAAATGGCCACAGTGGTTCACATTTACAGAGTATCTATACATATATAAAGTCTTCATAGGGTGGGGTATTAACTGATAACCTGTATTCATGAGCTATTCACATTGATCATGTAAGTCTGTTTTTTAGGCGGAAGAAAGGTTAAGAAGAGTTCTTCTGGTTTATCTGACTGGACAGCAGCACTTGGAGGGAGTATTTAGCGTCCCATAGTAGGCATGGTAACTGCAGGACTTTTCAAGGTGGCATCTTCAGCTTTCCATTGTGAGGTTACAGTTTTGATTTGTGTGTAGAACTGGATGCCCTGGATGGTAAAAATAAAAACATTTACATCAAAACTCAGAACAAACTCACTGTGTTATTTTAAGCTGTACCAAAACAATGCTTTTGTTTATTTCATACTTGTTTTCCGTAGAAGTTCATGTCCCCTCTGAAGGATCCTCTTGATCCAGTGAAGGAGAACATAGGCAGTGGAACAGGGATGGGCACATTGACTCCAACCTGCAGAAAACAAGTATTTTCCCTTTCATTTCCATAAGTGGAAGCTTTGTAAAACAATTCCCCGAGATCCTAAATTGCTAGGATGAGTAAGATGTGGATGATGAGAGATGTGGTACATCCATGCTGTTTAAAAAACAAGCTTACATGATCGCACTAAACAAAGCTAAACCTGTGGCTTACATTGCAGTTTCTAAAGAACAGCATGGTCATATGAAAGGGAAAAAAAACTAAATAAAACATTTTGTTATGAAGGCAATAGAGGCATGGCATGGTTGGTTTTGAATGTTTGAAACAGCAAGAATAAGTTTGCACACACTAAGGCCTTTTGGCGAAGGTGCAGCAAGGGAAAAAAAAAAAAGGAAAAGTAGATGTTTGTTGCATCGAGGTTTGGAGAGGAGAACAGCACATGGCCTGCACAGCATTCCCCGACATGTGAACAGCAAATACAAGGCATAACTAAGGCTCCATAGGCAAACAAACAGGGTAGAAGCTGCACATATTTATGCTAAAACGTTGAACAGGATCCTAGGAATCCCTTTTGGGTTTAATTTAAGATTTCCCTCCTCGAATACTACCCGGAAAAATGTTTCTATGTCCCCCTGTTTTCATTTAACAGACACATATTTGCTGTAGCTATTTGTAGTCTTGACTGGTTGGGAAGTGGAGGGAAGGGGGTTGCCGAATGTGTGTATTTTAGGTCATGAGCAAACAGGGCTATACTTGACATGGAAAATAATTGTTTTAATGTTTGTGAAAGTTTTCAAACAGAAATGTGATGTGCTCCCTGCTTGAGATGCTGTATGCACATGACAGAGGGATGTGAATGTCTCCTTTCTCCCAAAACAGAGGAACACATTTGGAGGCTGCAGCCACTCACCTGGCCCACATCCACCTCGTGCGTGTATTTGCGTGCAGTGGCGCCATTTGTGGTGAAGATAGCTGTGCCGTTGCCATAGGGGTTGCTGTTGACCAAACTGATGGCATCGTCCAGAGTGTCTGCCTCGAGAACAACCAACACAGGCCCGAAGATCTCCTCAGAGTAGCACTTCATCGCAGGCTGTGAGAGCAGAAGAGTGAAAACTCTTACTGGCAGTTTAGTTTTAGACTTGTTCTTAAAAAAGGTACTTGGGCGCAAAAACGTATGTGGAAATAAATAGATTAAAACCACGTACAGTGACGTTGCCGATGATGGTGGGACCCACAAAGTTGCCGTGCTCATAACCCTTGACATTGACGTTTCGCCCATCCAGGAGCAGCTTAGCTCCCTCATCCACACCACTCTGGATCAGACTGCACACTCTCTCCTTGGCCTGGGGAGAGATCAGAGGCCCCACGTCCGCACCAGGCTGGTCTCCTAGCAGGGCCCCAGAAACAACCAGCTATAAGGTTACATACTGTGGCACTCGCATGATGTGAGCAAATTAAGGGCACTGACTTTCACATAAGGCTTTTGCCACAAACACGCAAAAGCCAGGACGAGGGGCACCCTGAGGCACTCCCTGAAAAATGGATACTTACGGTTTTCCTGTCTACTACACAAATTAGAGTCCATATCACTGGAAATGGGGAGAATGATTCTTCATTTTACTCCACATCAACTTAGCTTCTCAAAGCATTTGACGCTCTGAACCGCTATTTAGGTCTGGGCTGCAGATCTGGCCACAAATTTGCAGCATGGCTGACTCAACAAGCCCTATGTCCCAGCTGACTCCAATGTGAAGTTACAACAGAGAAAAAGGCGAGAGGTGTGGTCAGGGCGTTGTGGGTGGCCCCCGAGATGACAAAACTGAAGGCTCCCATGGGCCCAGGAGAGACAGAGGTGAAGGGTGGGCTGACGGGTTGCGGTACCTGCGTTCACGCGCAGGGCCTTGGCTCGCTCCACCAACTCCGGCAGCCAGCTGCGTGCCTCGCCCACCAGGATGGCTGTGGACAGAGCCATGCAGCGCTGTCCCGCAGCCCCGAACGCTGCACCCACGAGCTGGTTCAGAGTGTTCTCCTTGTTGGCATCAGGCATCACCACACCATGGTTCTTGGCTCCCTATAGTACATGAGAAGTGGTTAGCCTTCTGCTGTTTGATCTCCACATTACAGCAACTGGTTAGTCACAAGTGAGAACATAATATCAGAAAATTATATACAAACAGCCTACAAATTTTATATAGTAAATTTGTTCCACATTTTAGACCATATGGGGTAGATACACGTCAATTAAAAAAATAAATCTTCAACAGGGATGCACAGCTTGCACCCTCTCTCCTCTGTACAGCTGGCAGTGAGGAGGAGCGATGAGGGTCAACAATCTGTTGGACAATGCTGCCACCTTCTGGACATTTACAGCAAGTGTCAGACATTACACCTGTGTTGCTTTATCATTTGATACTCACCATGTTCGACTGGACCCTCTTGCCGTTTTTAGAGCCCCTCTCGTAAATATATTCCCCAGCTTGATTTGAGCCTACAAAGCTGATGGCCTTGATGGCCGGGTGGTCACAGATGAAATTCACAGCTGTGGCAGAAAGACACAAACTGTATTAACTTAGATATTTTCTTTAATTAAACACAATAATAATAACCACTGATATTTCAAATACTGTGTGGTAATGCTTTACAGTATCAAGCAATTATCCCAATGCAGAAATGACAAGTCAATTATAAGATTTATAGAAAATTGAGATTTTTATACATTCCATCAGCCTCAGAATTGCTAAAATGAGCTTGCTTCCACTACTAAGTCAGACATTTTAAAACCTTGTGCTATCACAATTTGCGATGGACCTCATTCCTATTTTTTGTCATATTCCTCAATGTACCAAAAAAGATTTGTGTCCTATTGGATGTAAGACTGCAACTAATTATTTTCATTATTGATTAATCTACCAAATATTTTCTTGATTAATTCCAGAATTTAAAAGACATTATTTATGGTCCAGTCTAGACAAACTGTATGTGGAAAAACATGTTTAACAAGTGATCAATCATAGCAGTAGAGTAGAGACATCATTTTTACTGGCAGGGCTGACACAGCTTTAGTGCTGGTGAAATATAAAGCGGTCGACCGATATGGAGTTTTCAATGGCCGATGCCAATACATAGAAAGCAGGGCTGCCGATGACCGATATGTACTGCTGTTATAAAAATAACAAAGAAAAGTCATGTAGAATTCTATTCTATTAAGAAATGCAGGAATATGTTTACAGCGGGATGTATGAGAGTTATAGTACAAAACTAATTTTGGACATTTTAATTTCTTCATCTGCCCTAAATAATACAGTTTCATCATTTACACTGCCTTGTAGCTACACTATATATTAGGATCGGACGTCAAACGGTATGTCCTAACAATCGACGGCTAAAAGGAAACAGAGACCAACTCTTACCAGCGTGTTGGCCGTGGATGACGTTAAGGGTCCCGTCTGGTGCACCGGCATCCTGCATCATTTTGACCAGCAGCATGGCGCAGGTCGGCACCCGCTCTGAAGGCTTCAGCAGGTAGGTGTTGCCGCACACCATGCCCATGGGGAACATCCACAGGGGGATCATGGCAGGGAAGTTGAAGGGGGCGATGCCAGCGCACACACCGAGGGGCAGGCGGTAGGTGTAGGTATCCATGTCCTTGGTGATGGACGGGAGGGTTTCGCCGAGCATCAGGGAGGTGATGCTGCAGGCGTGCTCCACAACCTCTGCAAAGAGAAGGAATAAACAGAGAATGCAACACAGGAGTTCATTGATTTTGGTTCCTTTTTGTTTGATGTGTAAAGCTATAAAAAAAAGGGTTTGTGACTGGTATATTGATAACCATCTATTTTTAAAAAGCTGTGTGTGTGTGTCTGTGAATGATCTGCTGTACTGAGACAAGTATTGAGTGTGTTGACTTTGTGTGTAAACTGAGAAAATGTCTCCAGTGGGAAATTTCAACAAACTCAGAGAAGGTACGCCTCTCCTTTAAAGTATAGGATTGTGTCCTTAATTTGTAATGACCAGTGTTAACACTCTTATCAATAATTCATTACTTAAAGATAAGATAAGGAGGAGAAAAAGAAAGCTTTTTAGAGTATCTGTTACACTTTAACAGCTTATTAATTTAGATCCAACCATTTTTTTATATTTTAGGTTTGGTTAGGTTAGGCACAAAAAACATCTTGGTTAGGGTATGTTCATAAATTCTCAGATATACTCTTTAGATAATCTGTTAAACATTTACAGAAAAAGCAAAACAGCTGAAATGTTACAAATAATCTATGAACTATTTGTAGGCGGTAAATAACAGCAGTAATTATTAGCAATCATAAGAAAATCATTGTTTGGGTTCAGTATAACTCATTAACTATTCCTGCAACCACAAAGTAAAAGCCTACATGAAATGCAAACGTTTACCTATTTGTGCCCTTTGTAAGTGTGTATGTGTGCTTGTGCATCAGTGAGATAAACTTACGCAATCCTCTGAACACATCCCCCTCTGCATCTGCAAGGGTCTTGCCCTGTTCCACTGTGATAGCCTTGGCAAGTTCTTTCTGAAACATAACACGACCCTTGTGTCAGTCCTTTGTTTTCAGCTTTAGATTTAATATAATCTGAACTAGAGTCTTAGTATGCAATGAAAAGAGCAGGCTCTCAACTAAGGTGTAAAAATGTAACAGTTGTTAAACTTAATAATAAATCATTAAATAATCAAGTTGAAAGGTAATGGTAAACTCTTGCTTTCATTTGCACCTTATTATACTTTCTGACCCTTTGACTTACAATGTTGTCCTTGATAAGCTGTTGATAGCGAAGAAAGACCTGCTGCCGAGCCAAGATGGAGGTCTCGGACCAGGAGCGAAAGGCTCTAGAGCACGAGTCCACGGCAGCCAACATCTCCTCCTGGGTGGCTTTAGGCACACGTGAGATCACCTCGTTGGTAGCCTGCAAAGAATATAAATGCAACATTAATGCACCGAAGATGAATTACTTTGAATCAGCAGGGGCTAAATGTTACGTAAAGGGTGAACTCGAGCAGATGTTTAACAGATACACGGGCCATTCACTTGCAGTTTATCAGGTACAAATGACAAAAAAAATTCCGCTCAGTCCTTGAGGAAACATTAATGATTCTCAGGTTATGACTTCCTATCCAAGTGAAGGTTTAAGTAATAACTCTTCATTGGCAATCAGTTATTTTGGTATTATTTGACTTATTTTACACTTTAAATTTTGTTTTTAATTTTGGTGTGTCGATACTGTAAATTTGTTCATATAACAAAGCTTAATGCAAATTTCTTTTGTTTTTTTAACTTACAATAACTACAGAAACCAGTTTTACCCATACACGTGCACATACATAAAACATTGTGTAACAGGTTAAGCAAACAACAGCAGGATGTACCTTACCCAGCTACATACGTGAATTTGGTGGGGAAAAAAGTGCAAAAGTGTTTGAGGATCCAGGCCAGGTAGAATACTTACGGGGTTGTGAATATCCAGCCATTCTGAAGTCTTGGATTCAACAAACTTCCCATCGATGAAGAGCTTGGTGGTAGGCTGAGAGGAGAGTGTCACATATGCATTCAGTCCACAGGTTCATTATGCATGTATGACATTTGATGCAAAGTGTAACAGCAGACAATTAAGTGTCCACTGTTCTCAACTCACCACTGAGGAGGAGTAGCACATGCAGCCAACTTTAAGTGGGACCTGAGAAAGAAACACAGCAGGGAGTCTGAAATCATCAAATTCAATAAATATTATTCATTATTCTAAAAACAGTGACTAAGTTTGGTTCACATATTATGTCAAACATTAAATGTACAAAACCAGCTGTTTCCTCCTGCAGACTTCTGTGTCTACAAGATTAATGAGCAACTACAAGCAATGAAAAGACTTGAAGGGGACAAAGTCAAGCTGACAGGACTGGAGTGGAAGATAAAAGCAGTCAAGCCTTTAAGTGCAGAGATTTTATTTGTGTTAGAGCACACAGAGAGAACAGTTAAAGTTAGGCCACTTCAGACCTCAGAAATCCTGCAGCACATGACACCTGGCACTTTATAAACAATGTGAGCTGCCAAAGCTGCCTGCGTCATATGCTTCTGAGGAGAGTTTTAAAAGCTATTACACTTGTCTTACCTTTGCCTTTAGCACTGATCTTAGTGCAGTTGTCGCCATGGTGGAAATGTTATTAAGCGCAGGCCGACCTGAGTTGACCAGCTCCCCCAGGTAGGACGGTGGCCAGCAGGAGACAACATGAAGCTTTCCTCCCTCACGGACATGTATTACCTGTGGGCGGGCTCTGAGCAAAACCGCCGCTCGCTATTCGCTCCGTGTTCGCACTCCCATGAATAACGCGGCCTGATTGGCCAACTGTGAGCGCATTCTATCCAATCCGCGTGCGAGGTTTTAGATAATCCCGCCTTAACTGTGATACTCGGCTAATGATTGGATAAAAATGATTCGGCATTCTGGCTGGAAGTTACGCAACCCGGAGCTGAACTGTGACCAGAAGCTCTGAGCTTGAACTAAGCTGTCTGTTCTGAATTTTAGCAGAGTGCATTATAAACTCGTCATTGAAGACAAAGAAGAGGGACTTCTCTGTGAAATGTGCAGGACGTATTCGACGTGTCTTTGAGCAAGCAGCACAGCGTAACCCCCCTCAAAAAATAAAAGCGATAACGTTATCACAGACACAACAATGCACTTGTCCTTTGTTTGCCTCGCCAAGGTACTGTAATACCATTGTTGGCTGTTTGCTAAGTGTGTGTGTGTGTGCGCGCGCACCAGGTCGCTAATGTGAACCATGTGAAGCCCAGATGTTGCTTAGTCATGGACCAAAGAGTAGGTAGGAGGGATTTTAGGAGCACATCCTATTGGCTGCTGGAGGATGATGATACTGTTAGACTGAAAAACTACTTGCACTAGTTGATTCAGTCAGAAAAGTTCAGAAAAGTAGAGGAATAAAAAAAAAGCTATGGCAACCCAAACTAAGGTGAACCAGTAGACAGATTTTAGTTAGAAGTTAAATATGTCCAAAGGGAAATGTGATGTGTTTTCAAATGGACTGAAGGTTTTTTTCTGTTTTGTGTTTCTGCACAGCCTGTTCTTCATGGATATTTCAGAAGCTCCTGCTCCTGGAGAGTCCGCATTGGTAAGTCTCGACACATCATTTGACTGCTTAAACTGTATTTACTTAAAAGTATTTTGATGTGAACGAGATAATAATTAACCTTTTGTGCACCAGCCTTTGCTCTCAAAGGTATTGAATATGACCAGGTTCCAGTCAATCTAATCAAAGATGGAGGTCAGCAGGTATATCAATGCAAAAATTACACACTGACATGACTGTACATGATCATGAGCATTACAAAGTGTTATTGGCTACTCTGGTCTTAAATGAACAATGTGTGCATATACATGTTAAAAAATCTTCTAAATGTTCTCAAGCTTACACAAGAGTACAAGACATTAAACCCCATGCAACAAGTGCCTGCAGTTGAAATAGATGGAATCACCCTCTCTCAGTCAGTGAGTCCCCAAACTCTTCACCTGTGTTCATGTCCGTCCTACAACACCGTGTTTTAGTTAACCAACTGAAATACTGATGGAAATGGTTTCTTGCTCACACAGCTGGCAGTGATCCAGTACATCGATGAGACCAGGCCAGGCCCTCGGCTTCTTCCAGCAGACCCACAGAAACGTGCCCAGGTTCGGATGATAAGTGATCTCATTGCCTCCGGGATACAGCCACTGCAGGTGAGAACAGCACAGTCCAAATCATAACAAAGTCATACTGAAGCATTACCAAAGTGCAAGTTCACAGTATGGATTCATTCCTGAATGTTTCAGAATCTGTACGTGATTCAGAAAATAGGAGCAGAAAAGATGCATTGGGCTCAGCACTTTATTGATCGGGGCTTTCAAGGTTAGTGAAAGCTCATCTTCTCAACTATACATCCAGACTTCAACGCTTCACTTCCCTTTACAATATTATTTATGTGCACCTTTCTCTTCCAGCTCTTGAGCCCATTCTGAAGCAAACAGCAGGGAAATATTGTGTAGGTGATGAGGTAAGAGCATGGCTATCGTATTAAAGAGTAACAGTGTGATATACAGCAGAAATGTATCTTCTAACTCACTGTTTACCTTTCAGATATCCATGGCAGACATCTGTCTGGTCCCACAAGTCTACAATGCAGAGCGGTATGTAATCAGACATTTCAGAAAAAGTGCAACATAAATGCCAGATTAATACTCAGTCACCCCGAAATAAAAGAGATCATCATGAATGTCATGGCATTTTGTACTTGATAAGAGTTATAGCATGTCTGTTTCTGTTTACATCAAATGTGCCAAAGAGCCTGCTGAACTTCTAAAGAGAAGCATGACCTCTTTATGTCTTTAATATCTATAGATTCAAAGTGGACGTCGGGCAGTATCCAACTATCAAAAGGTTAAATGAAGCCTTAGTTGAGATTGAAGCTTTCAAAGAGAGCCACCCGTCCAGGCAACCAGACACACCTGTGGATCTGCGTGCATAGAACGCCACCTGAGCAGCTTTAGAGACAGCCATGCAACTTTGTATATTGTTAAATAAAATGCAGTGAATATAATCTGTTTTTAGTGTTGTTACTTTAAATAACAAGAAACTTTGAGTTAAAAATATTTATTAGAATTTTGACTTTATCCAGCATGTTACCCGCAAATACATACCAATATGTGGGGACAAGGTAAACAACAAAGAAATGTGTAAAACATGCAGATCACAGATTTGTTATGCAAAGTGCAAAACCCCTCAGCTCACAGCTCGCAGCATGTTGTCTGTGTAGGGGAAGTATTGATGGTTATTAAAGAGGCATAAATCAAGCTAAAATAAAGCTGTAGAATACATCATACAGAAGTTCAAACATTTAAACATGTAAAGACAAACAACCAGGCAGAAAAATAACAGTTATAGATGCATACACATGCAGGTGCCATTTTTCTCGTATTATCACAGCAGATCACAGCGTCTCCGCCTCCACTGTTTAAAAATGGTAAAAACAATTGTCTTGTTCAGATTTCCTCCCTAATGAATCCATCAGCTGTCACCAGGGACCTCCACTGTGCACCTGACTGTGTCGTTGTAGAAGGTACCGGAGCAATCTGAACCACCAAACACCAACAATGTGACGCGGACGCCGACATTTTCACCTTGTTCGTGCTTCCCAGCGTCCGTTAGGGTGGAGCAGCCCAAATGTATCATGCTGTGTCCCGCACGAGGCTTGGAGCAAAGCAGAGGAGACGCCACTGAGCTCCACATGGTGGTGTCTGAGGAGAAATCACAGCGGGGGGGGATTCACTTTACACTTTAACAGTTGATTTGTGATACATAACAGGGTGACTTAAAGTAAAATCCCAAGTCTGTTTTAGTGCCAAAGACCAACCTTATTGAGCAATTATGGACTAAAGTGAATAACATTGATATAGTTTTGTGTTATTCACTATACATAATCTGTTGGCAGTGACACAAACTTACCAGTGTTGAAAATATGTACGTCCTGCAGGGCTCCGATGGCACTGCAGCCTCCACTGATTAAAATCTTGTTGTCTGAAACTGGTAGAGCTGTGTGAAACCTGTCCATGTAGGCGAGGAGATTTTTCATATGTACCATTACTGTTCTAAAACCAGTTTATACACAATATTTGAACATGCATATTCACTTTTGTTATTTCATGTGGAGTTAAAAAACAAACAATGCAGAGAGAATTTTGTCTTTAGAAATTATATTTTGTGTTAAAACCAATTAAATTCAAATGCAGATTTTTTTTCTGTCCATGACACCAAAAATATAAAAAACCAGATGGCTACGTGAGTGACATCTCTCAAGGTTGATTAATCGTGTACTCACCCTCGAGGCAGTGGTGGCATGTTCCCACACTTCACAGCTGTGTACTCCATGAATCCTTCTCTCATTAAGAAAAAAAGATATCAGTTTAAATCTGGACACAAAACTGTTGCCTACTACAGCCACTGAATCTTCTTCATCTTACCCAGATCCAGAACGTAGAGATCGTTAAGGTACGTAGCAGTTTTCCGTCCGCCAAATATTATCAGCTTCTGTGACATCAGTGTGGCTGAGTGACTGCGTGATACAAACACAAGGATGTAAAGTAAAGCAGTACTTCCATGAAACTAACTGCAGTCGTTTTTGAAAAGAAGACTGACCCAAACCGTGGCAAAGGTCTGTCCCCCTCCACAATCGGCTGGTACCAGAGTTCAAACTCTGGGTTAAAGATGTACAGAGCATTACTGCAGGATTTATCCGCAGAGGAAAGGCTCGGCTGAACTCCACCAAAGACAAAAAGCTCTTTCTTATAAAAGGCTGCAGAATGATATGCCAAATTTGGAACATTTCCTTTTGCCTAAAAGGAGGGTAAATCCACAAAAACAAACCAAAGGAAAGCATTTCCTGTAACTCTGCTTGAGGATTTGATAAGAAAAACTCCTGTTAGTAACTTGCAACAAACCCACAGTGACAAGCTTCCATTTCCAGGTCAGAGTATTAAGGATGTACAGCTCGCTGTAGCGCTGACCCTCCCTCAGGCCACCGTAAACAAAGACCGACTTAGAGTCTGGGTCATAGGTCGCAGAGTGTCCTCGGGCACACGGCGGTGTGGGTCCAGAAGCAGAGGAGTTCATGGGGAACCAGAAGTCACTGTCTGGGAAGAGGTCAAAAAGGTGATAAAATGTGGGAAAACGCATCATGTTCAGTGCGCAAAGGCTTGAGGGCTAAACATATATATTAAAAAAAAAAAGAAATCTACTTGGAACAATAATCTGTTTTTCCGCAAAAAAAAATTTAAAAAATAAAAAAGAATTATTTAAATTCTGCAAATGTTGTTCATTTTTAAAGTTTTCCTGTCGGACACAAGATGTCTCCTACTTCACTGTCCATTCTCAGTGTATGTGCTCTGGTGGATTCAGGCTTCTATATCACACTGTATAAGTTGCTTACTGGACCAGGACTGACTTCCTAACTATTTGCGATGTCACAAGTCACAAGTTAGGCCCCGCCCCTTAAAAATCAGATTTATAATGAGCACAGAGAAACTTTCCACTGTCAGCAGATGAATGTGAAAACATCCTTCTAGAGTCAAACTGCACAGACAGCATTCAAACCGCACACTGTAGGGACAGGGAGAAAAACATGTTTTTGACTGGAGGGGACTTTAACCAATGAGACAGTCTATCTCAAACTCTGTGTTTTCCTTTGTGATCCCAAATTGATAAGGCTACAGCTTAACAGTAAATGCACTATGGTGGTGGCGCCCCTTTAGAGGCAGCTGGTGAATCCTGTTCCAGGTCATGGTAGTGCAAAAGCTGGTAGAAGAATTTTGCCTGAATATAATACAGTAAAAATGCAATCTAGAAATCACAACATTTAAACAATGAGTCAACAAGAGTCAGAGCAGTCATCGGTTCCAGTTATTGACTGTGTCAAACTGTAAGAGAGCAGACAGATACCCTGCCACTGTAGACGAGAGCAAACAGAGATGTGTTTGTTGATAGTCTATGGCAGAGTCAGGGTGTGGTTGTATTCAGTGGCTAGAGGTCTATTGTTGTCTGATTGTGTCTTTGTAGGCCAGAAACACACATACACACATATATCTGCCTCGTGTTGACCCTGTTGCAACCAGAAAGAGTGGGGGTGCACACTGGGCTGAGTGGCCCTGATCCTGCATTGGTAGAAGGAGGTTGTTTACTGTAGGGTGGTGCTACAGTGGGAGTGTATGTTTGAGAGCATCCATTCCTGTGCTCTATTTATGTGTGTCAATGGCAAAACTATCAAGTAAGCACCACACAGAATTGATGTTGATTGATGCTGTTAACAATCTCCCAGTTTTTAGATCTGGATGTTGAGAGCAAAATCCGGATTTTGATCTGCTATTGTTTCCTCAAGCTCTTTGCCCAGACTCTGAGCCCTGGAGCAAGTAAAAATGTGCTTATCAACATTTTTGACTTTAGAAGGACAGACCCATATCTGGCTGCTAGGATCTTAATAGTTCAAGTATTTTAGACAAAGGAAACATTTAAATTTTGAAACATATCTATAAATCATGAAACCCATGTAACTGCGTTGGAACCAATGGGACATTAGCAGGGAGAGTCTAACAGGATCTTTGAGGTCAAATGCAACCATTCTCAAGTTCTATTCATATTCTGCTTGCTCCTGAGTGAGAAACTTTTAAGATAGCACAGGAAGCCTTAAAGTCCTTATATCCTGAGGCACAGCTCATCTCATCATCAATCATATATGTTGTGTGTATAATATGTTGTTTGTATATCTGGAGTGT